ACATTGTTACGTAACCTGATCAGACGTTTGTAACAATCAGACGACGTTGTATAATCGAAAACAGAGATGACGAAGATCCAACCAGGCGTTAAATATTATATTTTAACTCGTAAATTTACGTGTGATAAGAATAATCAAATATTTCCCCACATTTTTTAGCTTTAAATAAAGTTAAAGGTGACAAACAAGTTCGAATGTTTGTCACCTTTAACAAATAATGAATCACAATTAGTTAAAGCCGAAAGTGAAAGATAAAGTCAATACCTGCCAGCTGAAATCACTAATCAGATTAATATTGCGAAGTATTCCTGGCTTTCTCTTCTAGAAAATTTGATTGTCAATTAATAATTAACTCAATAATGAATGTTTACTAATGGCACAAATAAAAATCTTTTATTCATTTAACTAGTAAAACTGTAATCGATTGAATCGATAAAAAGTGATTAACGTACCCAACAAAGAAGAAAGTAGTCGAAAAATGTGGAATGAAATTTCACTTTCAAGAAATAAAAGCTAAGATTAAGTAATTATTTCTTGCTGTAATTTAAAGGAATGAGCTTCCTAGAAAAAAAGAATTTCACAATAATTAGAAGTATGTTGAAATTTTATAAAAAATAATTTATAATGTCAAATATATTTGTACGGAAATAAATGCACATTAATGATTTAAACATCTCCACGATACCAATGTGTTCAATTTTATTTCGATTATCTCTCTTCTTGACATATTCAAGCAGCCTAAGATTCCTTGTATGTAGGAAATTTATAAAAAATAATTTATAGACAAGTTCTGATACCAGTTAATGCGTAACTATAATTGTATTAGGTGTTAGCAGTTAATCACGAGACGTAACTGCAGAGACATTGCAAAAAGCTATCTGTTTGTCTTCCTGTTCAGTTGATAATAGGCCTACATCACTTTTACATGAGCGTTTTGTGAGAAAATAATATAATAACACTAGGATATCTAAATTTCACAATTGGATGCCATAAAAATTTATAGAACTGTATTCTCACGCTTTGGAAATATCGGTCTGAGGAGGGCGTTTATCCGAAACATGTAACTCTACTTGGTAAAGTTGCAAGAATATGTACCTTATTTCCTACAGTTGCAAAGCTTTAAGAAAAGATGTCATTATGCAAGTTTCATAAGAAATTATTACAAGTGAGAATAAAACGTAAATATTTTCAATTTTTCTTGATATTTGTCGTATATTTCAATACGCATTTATACTCGTAATTTATAGGATTTTTATCTTGTAAATAAACTTATGAGGATAACAAGGTCAAGTTTAAACTTTCAACTTTAAATTTAGCTACTTAAAATTGATGTTTTTTTTCGGTTAGTAAAATATTTTTCTATGTCTTTTCAGACAAAACTAAAAAAATATTAAAAATTGAATTTACTGACTTTCGGAAACTGGTTTCGTTTCGAAAGTAAAGTAGCTGCCCACATGATGTTACGTGAAGATGAATTTTACATGGACAACAGTTTTACGAGGCAAGATTTTCGATAAAAACGAACTTATATATCAAAATTTATTATACAACAAATTAATTTTATGCAACGAACAAGAATTGTTTCTCTTGTAGTTCATATAGTTCATATATAAGTCTACATTATATAAAGTACGAGTGGACGAGCATTTTCTGTCGCAAAAAAGTTGTTCTTTCTTGAGTTTCAAATTCGTAAAAAAAGTGACTTTATCATGTATAAAATATGCACAAATCTTTAAAATTAAATGATAATGTAAAAGATTCAATTGTTTTATATCGATATCTCATATTTAAATGATGCAGCTGACATCAACTGGAAAAAAGACATTTATAAATACATAGGATTCGATTGATGGAATAAGACAACGTAATGCTTGCTCGATCTGTTAAAAGGAAACTTTCTATGAGAAACTAGGAGACTAGTTTCTCATAGAAAATTTCCTAGATATGTGAAGAATTCTATTTTTCTATTCTATTTCCGAAAAATTCTATTTTTCTCGCCTGCTAGTCAGATTTGAACCCACGACCAATGTCTAGTGACGTTATCTAATCAACCGATGAACTCTTATGGGCCTTATTGTAATGTACTTGTACCGTATATCGGCTAATGCATCCGTTAAAATTTTCTAAAATTGTATTCATGATTTTACATGACGTTTATGAAATTCTATTTAAATTAATGTTGAGGAGATCGAGACAAGTTGTCGAGGTTGAACAAGTCAAGATAACAGATTGTATAATGATTTACGAGTGGCATTATTGTTTCTCCGGATATATTCGTTTGTTCAAATTCGCATTACATCAATCCGTGAAAATTCAAGGAAAGACTTATTCACCCACAAAAGAATTATCTTTTTATATTTAGAATATAATTTTCTTTCATACGTAAGCTGGTTCATAAATTTAAACTTCTTACTTTTATCTTAATTAATTCGAATTTAACTAAAGTTCTTTACACTAATTATAAATTAGAATTATCTCTAGAGTTTTATCTATATAACCTATTAAAGATCAACTCCCAATGGCAGAATTCAAAACTTTTATCAGAAACTGAAAATTCACAAAACATATTGTAAAATTAATTAATTGTATGGATTTTCTTTTGCAACAAAGTTTAATTTTCATTATAGAATTACATGACTTTTTATTTTCACTTATGTACGCATCTTTTATTAATAGTTTCTTTGTTTAACTGTAAAAACAATATTATATTATAAAAATTAATATATTTATTTCTAAAATTAAAAAAAATATATTTATCTATTTTTCTACGCCTAGATCCATACTAATCACTTCAGGATCTAGGTAATCTAGATCTTGCAGTATGCATTATAGCATCTAAATATTTTGTTCATGCTAAGAAGTTTTAAATAGGCTTGTCTAGTTACATTAGTTCCCAAAAGGTACACTAACTCCAATGTTACAAACGGTGTAGACTATAATATGTCTGGAAACCTTGTGATAGATCCTCTAAATTTTCTCCACCACAGGTTTTCGGACCAAACTAAATCGCATTATAACTAGTCAAGGAAAGGTTGTAAATATCTCCTTTGTAACTGGAAGTACAGAAGCTGTTCATAAATTACGTAACGCAGATTGCGTGCTGGGTATGCATGGGTGGGTTTACTTACAATTTACAAAAACTTTACGTAATGCTGGGGTCTTAACCCTTGGGTTTATTTTTATTTTTGAAGTGTTGCTTAGAGAGCCATACTATTTAAGTCACTGCTTTGTTCGTTATACATGTAATTAATAACATAATGTAACGTTAAGTACCCCGTTCTATGTAATATCTCATAGTACAATTAAGGGAGTCGATCAGGATATACGTTACGTAATTTTGGGGTTAGGTCTGTACGACAACGTTACTGATTATTACAATAGTAGTTAAAAAGTATTATAAAGCGTCGTAATTTATGAACGATCCCAGAATCCGAACTATGAATTCCAAAAACTTTAAATAATGTAACACGTCTTGTAACACTACAATTGCTTGCTCCAAAATTCTCCTGTCGAACTATCTGAAATCCATCATCTATCTACTCTAACCAAGTTTTGAAATGGTTTGAAGAGCTCATCATTAAACTGTGAAATCTGCTTTCTTTCCCTATACGAATATATGTAATATATCAGAAAATAATTTTAAAATGTTANTTCCTAGAAAAAAAGAATTTCACAATAATTAGAAGTATGTTGAAATTTTATAAAAAATAATTTATAATCATTGTAAAAAGAAAAGTAAAATTAAAAGGAAATAATTACTAAATTGTAGAATATAGAAGTCTCCTTTTATTCTCTTTTGTGGTTTCGAGAAATTTGTTACAATTATGATTATAGAAACGAGTTGGATACTTGTTTGCTATTAAACAACTCGGAAATTGCCTGGAGAGATTAAGGAAATATTATTTTGAGTGCAGACAATAAATCCGGATCACAATTTTGATGTAGTTTCAAAGAATAAAAACAGATAAACGTTTATTTTATATTATTTTTTCTTAATATTTATTAAGAACAGGTAAAAATAAGAAGCTTTAAGGAAATTCTGAGAAATAACCATCTTAATAATTTATGTGGCATACATCAAAGAACAAGTAGTATTTTCATAGTTAAAATTTATGATTTTTTAAAAATATATATGCTGTTATTTAACTATAAATCTATATTGATTGATCTGATGAATGTTCCAAAAACTATTCCGGCATGTTTTGATTCTTTTACCTATCATCAGTCGCCATAGCAACATGCTAATATTGAGCTCTAATGTGTAAATTATCAAAGCAGTTTTTTCTCTTTTATAAGATAAATTTCTTTAAATATTAATAATATGTTTACAAACAATCTCCTAGCTACAATGAAATGTATCATCACTTGCCTAAATTAGCATAGGTTTATGGATAATATCGACGATCATCAAGTTATTTAGATTTAATTAATGCGACGAAATTGCAGTAATTACATTAATTAAATAGAAAACTTTATATATCATGGAACTGCCTGAACATTTTCCCTCTAATCATTTACAATAATTAATTTTGTTGATTTAGCTAAGACGAAAGAATAAGCAAATAAGATTTTCTTGATAATATCCGATTCTGAATAGGATCAGAGCTTAAAATTATACAATTCCAAGCTCTAAAGCGATCAATACTTGCTAATTACTATTACTAAAAGCCCATTCAGTTAACAAACATATGACGCAATAACTAATCACAAGAGAGTCCTTCAAACTAGAGATGAAAATGACTTCTAGTGGCGACTGTAAACTACTAGCAACACCTAAATCTATACATATACAGTACCTCCTATACCAACTATATATAGATTTCCCTTTATGTGGCTACAAACGTGTTTAAAATATCAAAATTAACAAATATTAATTAGATTACAATCAAAATAACAGATAAATTTTATTACTTTTATTCACCATATGTTTAATCATTTATTACAAGAATAAATAAGTAGGAGGGTGATTTTAGTGAGAGATTCAAAGACGATTGTCTTACCTGAGAAGAGGATTTTATACTTTTAAGATCAAATTTTCAATCTTAAACATGATGCACACGCATATACAAAAACTAATCTATCCTGAACAGCTAGTAGACAATCGTCCTGATAGAAATACTGCAGTGGATAAAATTGTGGATGTCCAATCAGGTGATGGTGTGGTCTTCACTTTCTCTCGCCATCTAGCGGCACAGATTAGTATTACGCGTCGTTATTGATCAATATGGAGTCGTGTTAAGGAAGAGAGAAACAGGTACAAGCTACGAGCTTATAAAACGTATTAAATGTAGTAAAACACAATTTAAGATTATTTATAGATAAAAGGTTTAGTGGTTAATCGTGTAAATTAACCTGTGAATTTGTAATCATATATTTTATTATTATTATTTTTTTTGTTATAGCTTGGACGTATTTTCGTCAATAAATTTAATTAGGGAAAGGTAATGCTTTAGGAAGTTCGTTTGTGTTATTTTTAAATTTCTTGTAAAATAAATAAAAATTTAATGTCTTATTTAATTTTTTTTTTCTTTCTTTCAACCTATTTTACTTATTTTTAACTATTTTAAATAAGATTTATATTGATGAGAATACGAACGAATAAGCTAACAAGCTAATTTAAATAAATTTATATTGGATTTTAAATAGCCTAAATAAAATTTCATTTTAAATGTAGAAAGAAAGTATTTTGTAAAATGAAGTCGAATAAATGAGTTAAAATTCAACTTCAAAGAAGAGAAAGAAATTCTATTAAGAATGCCTTTAATATAGAGGACTAAATTAAAATCCAATTCAAATGATTTACTAATTAAATTGATTAAACGTATTTCATTATTTAATTGAAATTAATACTATATTATCGATTACGTTTCCTATAAGTTTATTTATAATGAGTGCAAGACATATTGTAAATTAAATTTATGCATTTTTTTTTTCTCAGATCATTCGAATAATTGAATCCCATAATTGAAAGCAATGAAATTACAAATAAATCAAAAACAATTTAGTCATTTAACAATCCAAATTGTCGGAAAACGAAGAATTTGATGAATATTTTATAAATGTAAGACCAGAAAAAAGTTCCTCAATAAAAAATGAAAATTGATTTTTTTCGAAAAGGTAAATAATTTGTTATTACAGATGAAAAATCGACAGCTCAGCAATTTTCCTTCTAAGTGTTCTTATTTTTGAAGTGTTCGCTTTTTACTGAATAAAATATCAAACAATTTATACGAGGAAACAATAAAAGAGCCATTTAATTCGTTGTAAGCTTGCTTACTACTATGTTTCCACCCTGTACTAAGATAGATAGATTCTATCGTTATTAACTTTAAAATCATTAAATTATTACATATTTCTTTGCTTTTAAATAAATTAAAACTGTCTTTATTACATTCGTATAACACTATTGAATTCATTAAAGCATACTCTTCGACGTATCACGAAGTTTCTATAGGAAATAATACATTTAATAAGAGATTTAATCCAAATGGAGTGTAATTATATTTCAAAAATAATTAAAGACTACAAATATGAAAAATAAGATGAAAAATTAAATCCTGGGACAACATATCATTTTGTAAATATTATAATATATTATAAAAAAGTTTTATTAATACAAAATTATTTTAAGACGCACCATCCCATCCACCTGTTTTAAACGAACGTTCGTCCCACAGACACGAAGTCTGACATTAATAGGTGGTTCAGGTCATTCCGTCCAGTACGGTGCTTGTCACCATAGTAACTGGATCGATAATAGCCACATGAAAAGGTGAAACATGATGTAGAGACTATAGAATCCGGAATTAAAAAAAAGGATCAAGACATTTAAAAAACTATAAATGAATTATTGACTTAGTGTGTAAATGCTATTTTTGTAGCTATTATGACTTACTGAATATTAAGTGTATATATATACATATAAATATTTTCTTTGAAAGTTCTTCAAGTGAATGTTTGACGAACATTTTTCTTAAAGAATTTTTTTTTAGAAATGTTTCTTCATAGGTTCAAATAAAAATATATATTGCTGCCAACCACTACTTGAAATATTTGCAATTTAAATTATAATCACGTGATATTGGATGTAGTTGCGTTGTTTATTGCCGAGATAAGAAGACTGATTTAAATACTTTATCACAAAAAATCTCGGAAATAAATTTATGGACGTTCTAAAATAGATTTATTGTTATTAAATGCAAGATGAATGATTCAAATATATGTTCAAAAGTAAAATTATTTTTTAAAAAATCTTCAATTTTTTAGTTAAATTATATATGAATAATGTCACTTATTGAATTTAAATAAATTTATATTGGATTTTAAATAGCCTAAATAAAATTTCATTTTAAATGTAGAAAGAAAGTATTTTGTAAAATGAAGTCGAATAAATGAGTTAAAATTCAACTTCAAAGAAGAGAAAGAAATTCTATTAAGAATGCCTTTAATATAGAGGACTAAATTAAAATCCAATTCAAATGATTTACTAATTAAATTGATTAAACGTATTTCATTATTTAATTGAAATTAATACTATATTATCGATTACGTTTCCTATAAGTTTATTTATAATGAGTGCAAGACATATTGTAAATTAAATTTATGCATTTTTTTTTTCTCAGATCATTCGAATAATTGAATCCCATAATTGAAAGCAATGAAATTACAAATAAATCAAAAACAATTTAGTCATTTAACAATCCAAATTGTCGGAAAACGAAGAATTTGATGAATATTTTATAAATGTAAGACCAGAAAAAAGTTCCTCAATAAAAAATGAAAATTGATTTTTTTCGAAAAGGTAAATAATTTGTTATTACAGATGAAAAATCGACAGCTCAGCAATTTTCCTTCTAAGTGTTCTTATTTTTGAAGTGTTCGCTTTTTACTGAATAAAATATCAAACAATTTATACGAGGAAACAATAAAAGAGCCATTTAATTCGTTGTAAGCTTGCTTACTACTATGTTTCCACCCTGTACTAAGATAGATAGATTCTATCGTTATTAACTTTAAAATCATTAAATTATTACATATTTCTTTGCTTTTAAATAAATTAAAACTGTCTTTATTACATTCGTATAACACTATTGAATTCATTAAAGCATACTCTTCGACGTATCACGAAGTTTCTATAGGAAATAATACATTTAATAAGAGATTTAATCCAATTGGAGTGTAATTATATTTCAAAAATAATTAAAGACTACAAATATGAAAAATAAGATGAAAAATTAAATCCTGGGACAACATATCATTTTGTAAATATTATAATATATTATAAAAAAGTTTTATTAATACAAAATTATTTTAAGACGCACCATCCCATCCACCTGTTTTAAACGAACGTTCGTCCCACAGACACGAAGTCTGACATTAATAGGTGGTTCAGGTCATTCCGTCCAGTACGGTGCTTGTCACCATAGTAACTGGATCGATAATAGCCACATGAAAAGGTGAAACATGATGTAGAGACTATAGAATCCGGAATTAAAAAAAAGGATCAAGACATTTAAAAAACTATAAATGAATTATTGACTTAGTGTGTAAATGCTATTTTTGTAGCTATTATGACTTACTGAATATTAAGTGTATATATATACATATAAATATTTTCTTTGAAAGTTCTTCAAGTGAATGTTTGACGAACATTTTTCTTAAAGAATTTTTTTTTAGAAATGTTTCTTCATAGGTTCAAATAAAAATATATATTGCTGCCAACCACTACTTGAAATATTTGCAATTTAAATTATAATCACGTGATATTGGATGTAGTTGCGTTGTTTATTGCCGAGATAAGAAGACTGATTTAAATACTTTATCACAAAAAATCTCGGAAATAAATTTATGGACGTTCTAAAATAGATTTATTGTTATTAAATGCAAGATGAATGATTCAAATATATGTTCAAAAGTAAAATTATTTTTTAAAAAATCTTCAATTTTTTAGTTAAATTATATATGAATAATGTCACTTATTGAATTTAAATAAATTTTAATGTAATTTTTAACTAATAGAATATTTAATGCTGAATTTAACGTTGATTTTTCAATTTTTTTTTGACATAAAGAAATAAAATGATTTTTTTTTCATTATGATTTCTTCGAGCATAGAATATAAATTTAAAAAATCTAGTTTTTATTTTCAGATGATTTAATAGCTCTTAATGAGTAAATGTCATTTTAAATATATTCAATTCTGAAATAATCTTTCTTATAACATCACATTTAGAAATTAATGATAATAAATTTAATAATAATAGCATCTACAATAGCTTTTAGTTTAAGGTATTACGTATTCTGCGTGACATTTAATGATGATGATTAATTTAATTCATTTAGCAAATTAGGATTATATCCAATGAAGTTTCATTTTATCGAAAAGTTTAAAACATTTTATTTTAGATCTTAGTAAATAAGCAGAACTAGAATCATTTTCTTAATTCAATTTATTTTTTATGTAGAATGAATGTATTTTCAAATTTAGATAAGTTATAAATGATGTATAATTAATTTAATTTAGGCTAAAAGTTAATCATCATTTCTACAGATAATTAACTTTCTGAAGTTTTTATCATCACTTTCAAAAATATTCCTTATCTTAAACATCACTTATACAATATTTATTTAGATAAGCATTAAATTTTAAATTTTGTTAGTAAACAAATATTACTGTTATGTAATTGAAGGAGCATATTGATTGATACGAATTTTCTATTCTTCTTTCTTCTCTAGATATAAATAATTATAAAAGAAACTATTTTTCATTTACTACTAATTTCTATGAATATAAATGTTTCATTGTAATATATTTTTTGCGGTTTCACTTATGAGATTTGGATATTAATTAAACTGCTTTATAGAAACAATTTAAACGATGTGGTAAAATAATATATTATGTAATTATGCAGCAATGAACATACCAATAAATCAATCGTAGTAAGTCAAAACCTCCGGTTTCGTAACCAATTACGATAACGTTACCCCTGTAAATGTCTCTTCTCCTTTGACAGATATGTTATGTCATGAAGTGACATTCACGCTACATTATCTAAACTAGCATGTAATTTAATATTACGTTCGTTAAATTGTTCAAATAAATTTAATTCAGTATACAAATTAAATTTTGCTGTTTTTATTAAGCTAAATGACACACACATTAAAAATTTATGCAAGAAAAATGAAAAAAATTGCCAAAAACAAAGATAGATTTACATTTATATAAGTTATAGATTTTTTTTGAATAAATAAGAAGTAGGATAACCTATATAGTTATATATATATCAAAATGATCAAGGCAAGTGACCTATATCAAGCATACAAGCAGATACTTCATAACAGTAATAAATGCATAGAAGTAGAACAAATCTATTTTTGTTAACAATGTCAAAGATTTATTAATACCTATCTACGAAATAATGTAATTACATGTTACTTACAAGTAATTAGTTACTTATTAAGATTTTTAAACCAAAGGAACTATTAATGTAATAATCATTCAAATCGATAATTCAAATTTGTATCTTCTCTCAATCATCTTTTGTCCAGACGCAAGGCGCCAGTCAAGGTGTGGTCCAGATTTGTAGTGTCATCAACCTTAATTTCTGATCAATAATCAATTGTTTCCTTAAATTTATTTAATTATCATAATAATAATAACTACTAATCGATTATTTATACGTATATGTTTTTCTTTCCTTCGTTTTTAATGACATCTAGTGGCTAATTTTTGAAATAAAATACCTCAAAACGATTAAAGTATTATAAAATAACACCAATTAAAAAAATATATATTATAAACCTTTTTAAATATATTTCGCGTTAATATTTAATGCTTTAGGATGAAATAATAAAGAAAATTTATAATATAAATAATACGTTAAATTACTATTTTTAAATAATAATTTTTGAAAATTCCCATTTTGTTATAAAAATGTATAAAAATTTACACATTACATTCAAGGAACGAAGTTTTTGTACAGGTAACAAAGGACAGACAGAAACAACAACCGCTGGCGCCATCTTTTGAAACAAATTTGAATTTATGTTAAACATATTTTATGCTTTTGACATTTTTGTCATAAAATAAACCAATAAAATTTTGCAATTTTGTATCACACAAAAATTTATCTTTTTAAATAAATGAAAATATTAATATATAAATTTTATTTTTGAAATATAAATTAAACTATTAAAATAAAAATAAAATTTAATANATATCTATATATTAAATATAATATTTTATATATTGATTCCTGCGTAGAAAGTGAAACAATTATTTAGAAAGTAAATATTTTACGAGTTATCAAAAACAAGTGAAATTTTGATTCAATGATTAAAATATATATACACGTTATACATTGCCTTAACTGTAAAAGTAATTATTTTAATATTTTAAACTTATTTCTACTTATTTAAGATAGCCACTTTCCACTCCTAGAGTCTGCTAAAGCCTGAAGCACCTGATATATGAAGCCTGTTATGCAACCCACAAGAAATATCTTTAATAAAAGATTGGAACAAGATGCCAATAGATAATTTATGTTCTATTTTTAAATGAAGCAAATAAAAATAGATTTTTGTTCCATTAAATAATCCGAGCCTTATATAATTTGGTTGATATATCTTAACAACGTCACAATATTGATTCGTATCATTATTACTGCATATATTTACCTGGATTTCATTATTTGAAACCGGATAGTCCCGATAATGCATAATACATCTTTCAATTTATATAATATTTATATAAATTAAAATGTAAACGAGCGAAACAAGTAGGGAAACATTAACTATACCAAGTGTAAACTAATAAATTAAATGATTCGTCGCAATGTGTCGTGACAGAAACCATAGCACATCGCGTTGATCCAGCTAAAATGATGCGACGAGTTATTTAAATTAAACAAAATCAATTCATTATTCTAATGTATTTATATGTTTATGTACTTGTTTGAGAATCTCATAACAGATGCTTTTATCTCAATTTTTATATCAGTTTCGGGGTAAATTCCTAATTTCACTCGGTGAAAATCCAAAGAATACCATTTTCTTTGGATTTGTTAAACTTCTTATCGATTTTAGAAAAAAATGTACATAGGATCGATAAGGAGTTTTTATTTAATGTATTTTAATAAATTAAATATATTTTATTTTAATGTAAATTTCTTTAATAAATTATAATTTATTTAGAATTCAAATTCGAGTATCAACATTTAATTACTGATCAGAAGAGAGAAGTATTATTAAATTTTAAAACAAGTAACAATAAAAAATTATCACAATTTAGATAACTTTATTATTTTTAAAAGAATATATCATTGGTAAAAGAATATTTAATAACTGGGCTGCAATTTGAAAAAAAATTGTAAACCGATAAATTCCCACTGTCGTCCGTCTGACTGACTGACTCATTTCTTAATCTCGAGAATGGTATTAGATGAATGTTAAGACCAAAACTGGAAACATTAGGGACTGGAGGCCCCACTAACTGTACAGAACTTCCAGTCTAGATCGGAAGACACGTGAATTCAATTCAAATATTTCTCCTGAATGAAGTTACAGATGACCTGCACGACTCTTTTGTTATCAGGAAAAGTATAATGTATAGGGGCAAGACTCTACAAATTTGAGATGGAGAAACATATAATTGCTCGTTAATCATTAAAATATTCTAAATATTTCTGAACGAGACTAGTATTTAAAATCGTATACATTGAATGTATGTATCTACATTTATATATATGTACAGTACAGTATAGTAATTATATGTAAGCATTTTATTGAGACATTAAAACACAACGATAATGTAAAAGTCAAACTTATAAATAGATCTATTTATTTAAATTTTTTTCTTTGTGTAAACATACTCGAAACATTTTTAAAAATCAAAATATTGCATTGTTAATATAAAGCGTATTTATATTCAAATGCAAACAAGTTCTTAGTGTTCATATAAAAATTTTAAAAAACATTCTATAAATAAAATGTTAATGTATTAGAAGGTCATATGAAAATGACATTTAAAAAAAATCAATTGATAATGAAATGATTATAAATAATAATTTTCGTTTGAAACTTTATTTAGAATAATTTAAATATATTAAAAGTAATCAATAGATTTAAAAAAAAATAAAGTATAAAAATATGTGTTTATTTCGACCTCTTTCCAGTTCTTATTTTCGCCTTTTTAACACCCTGTTTTAAGTATTTATAGTTAAGATAATTAATAGTTGAGGTATCGACAGTTTCGATCCTTTTCTAGGAAATGGTCTTGTAAATTTTCTCCATTGTGAACAAATATCGATAAAAATGGGTGATAGCATTTATTTGGAATATCTCTCTTTATATGACTTTAAATTATTTTCATTAAATCCTTTGTAAAAATCCTCTTATTATATAATACTAATTTTCACCAAATCAAGAGCTGCTTCCGTGTAAAAGTAGTTTAGATATAAGATAATTAACATTAAAAATTAATGTTTCATAATCTTTCATCTAACATATTGGACGGGGATAATATATCAACTGCACTATAAAATCTTCAACAAAGTAAGTCATTACACAATCAACCACACCCAGTTTGAACGTTTTAAGAGTTCAATGTCAGCAATGTCAACGATCTGTTATCGTTGACTTTTAACGTTTATTTTATATGCGTTTCGGTACATGAATGAGGCATTGACTTTTTGGTACATCGTATTTTATAAATGTAAATGACTACATTAAAAAGTTTATTCTATTACATGAATAATTATATGACTTACCTTCGTCTTCATCGCATTTTTTATCATCTTCGTTTTCTTCTAATTTTAATTTCTCTTCGTTTTCGTTTAATTGTTCTGGTGCTTGTTCGTTTGATTCTTCCTCTTGTTCAGTTTTTACTACTTCTTCCTCTTGTTCATCTTTCTTCTCGGTTTCTTGCTGTTCTACTTCTTCACACGATTGATCAGACTCTTGTTCATTTGTTTCAATTATATCTTGTTCTTTATTATCTTCCTGGTCTTGTTGAGTGGGATCTTCTGTCATTTGTTCTATCTCCTTTTCGTTTGACTGTTCTATTTCTGTTTTTTTCACTTCTTTATCTTCTTGTTCATTTACTTCATCATTTTCTACTTTTGGTGTTTCATCTTGTTGATTTATTTCTTCAGCAGAATTAGCCACTTCATTGTTAACACTATCGATCAATTCTGTTTCTTGTTCTTCAGATTTTTGTGCATCTTCAGTATTTTCGGAACTTTTAGCAAGCTCCTCATCTTGAGCAATTTCATCACAATTTGTTTGATCTTCGTTGGCATTTGTTTCGGTTTTGTTTAATTCTACTTCACTTTCTTGTGCATTTTCAGTAGATTCTATATCAGATTGTTCTTTGACATTTTCATCAGCTTTATCATCACTAGATGAAATCTCTAATTGTGATTGTTCTTTATTGTCTAAAGCTTCACATTTTACAGAAGTTCTACTTTTTGAACTGGAAGTTCGAACTTCTGATGAATTTTCATTAGTCTGACTTTCGGATTGATCTTCTAGTGACTTTTTACTTGTAGAACTCGCAGGTCGCGTTTCGGATGGATCTAGTGACTTTCTACTCTTAGAACTCGCAGGTCGAGTTTCAGATGGATCTGCTTGTGATTTTCTACTCTTAGAACTTGCAGGTCGAGTTTCGGATGGTTCATCTAGTGATTTTCTACTCGTAGAACTCGCAGGTCTACTTTCGGATGGATTGTCTCGTGATTTTCTACTCGTAGAACTTGCTGGACGAGTTTCAGAATTCTCTTCAGTAACTTGATTTTCAGCTAGATTATCAGGTGTTTTTGTACATGAAGAACTTTGAGATTGCATTTCTTCAGTATTTTCAAAATCATCTTGTTTTGTAGATAAATCTATAGTGTTGTTGCTTTTAGCACTTGTTGGGAGTAAATCATTAGAATCTTCATTTACTTGTCCATCAGAAGCTGTCTCATCAGGTTGTTTACTGTCAATGCTCAAAGGTGTAGTATCTTCGGAGTTTTCAGTAATCTCTTGTTTTGCAGATGAATCTGTTGACTTCCTACCGGAATTTGGCCGTTGGTCGTTAGAATCGCCATTGATTTGTGTTTCAGAAGCTAACTCAGCAGAATGTTTACTAGCAGAACTTAAAGGCCTATTATCTTCAATGTCTTTCGCTGTTTCTTGTTCCGATGGTAGCCTGATATTTCTCTGACTAATAGAACTCGGAGGCCTATTTTCTTTAGATTCATCCACAGTCATTTCTTGCATGTCACGATGAATAGATTCCCTACTGGGAATGCGATTTTCTTTTCCATCATCATCAGCGATTGATGTCCGTCTATCCGTTCCATTTTGAATAGATTTTCTGCTAGTGTTGCTGGCTGGTCGCTCTCCTATTTCGCTTCTATGGCTATGAGAACTAGAAACACGGTTTTCTCTACTTCTACCATCAACAGATTTTCTACTAGTAGAGCTTGAAGCGCGACTGGATCTGCTCTGTCGTCCATTTTCATTTTGTAAACCATTAACTGTGCCATTACTTTTAACACTTGCAGGACGTTCCGTATCAGCATCACATCCATTACTTTCCCCAGTTTGCAATTCTACATTTGATTCACCATTTTCTTGTCCATTAGATAATTCAATTTCTTGATTAAGAACTTCTTCTTCGGAGTCAGTTGACTTGTTATCTTCTATTCTTTCTTCCTTTTGTTTAGATGCACTTTTTTTGTTTTCTGAAGTAATGGTTGCAGATTTCGGACGATTTTCTGTTTCTTCAGTTACATCTTGAGCCATTTTTAAACAACTATAATCAAACAGGAAATCTATCTCTTGCTAACAAAAAGAGATAAACCTGTAATTTTTCAAAAATGCTTTCAAAAATCTATCTAAATATAATTAAATTATTTAAAAATATTTTCATTCTTTATGTTGTTTAAAGTTAAAATAAATAAATAAATAAATAATTCTCCACCGCGACTCTTCAGTAAATGACTGGGAAACTGGAAAAATTGGAAAAATTTTCAATGTTCCAGTCTGAGAAATACAAGGTCATGGAACTCAACTGTCCAATCAATACAAATATCAGCGTTGACGTAAAAAGTGACATCGACCCCAAGAGTAATGTGTTTACATGATCATCGTCGACTTTACTGTATAACTTTTAAAGTAATGGTCACCTGTCGCCATGACGCACTTCCCGTTATTGATTAAACGATGTTGACTTTAAATTCAAACTATAATAAACACGTATACTATTTTTATATACAATTCAAAAATAAGAATATTCAAAGGAAAAAAAATACGATCGATTTTCAAATTATTTTCCTATGTTCTCACCATGTTAAAGATAAAACTTTTCCCCCTTATTGGCAAAAGGCCAATACTTGACCGGGTTAACGCTAAAATTCAATAATTTAACATTAATAAATTATACTTTTAGAAATAATAATCTACCAATAACTTTATAAATTCTATTATTTATTAGAAACATTTATTTTCATGACTTATTTATAAATTAATAAAAAATTTTCACTCAAACTTTTCAATATCCAAAACCAGTTTAAATAAATAATTAAAACATTATTAAATATTAAATTAACTTTTATACTTTTAATATAATCGTATAACTTAAAAATCAAATCATTTAAGATAATTAAAATTTAATTAAAAAGTTTTTAATATAAGAGAAAAATAGCTTAAAAAATTCGTAATTTATGAAATGTTGCAATAAAAATTTTAAGTTTAATAACTTTATATAACTTTAAATAATAATAAAAAAAATATTATAAACTTCTTTAAAAGTGATCAAAATGTGAGTCACTTCATCCAAAGGCAATAGCTTAATACGTGGTGTGAGTCACTTACCTGAAGTATTGCTCACCTGTTCTCATGAAAGGTCTTCACAGTTCTGACAACTCTGAATATTCCCGCTCAGGTATGTAGCGATAGAAGCGCCACGAATATTTATGTGAAAAATGTTACCATGACGACAATCAAACAAACGATCATCATTTGATGTATATATGTATATTCCCACCCATTGTCATATCTTTCTTCGATTGGTCGCGCATTCCTTTCTTCGTAAATCATTCTTCAAAGTAATGACTATTTTCAATGTTTCCATTTTACAACTATATCAACAATAGAAGCAACACATAAAACATGTGCAGTATTTTATATTCATATCAAAAACATTTATTATTTTTACGCAAAAGTATGCATGATATTTATAAACTAGTTAAATTAAAATTCGGATGCTTGATTTATTAAAAAATAGCTATCTATCTATCTATATATATATATATAAGTTGTTCTAGTGTTTCTCAACCGAGGGGTCGTGACCTTCGAGGAAGATTGCCAAGAATATTTCTGGACGTCGATGTTTTCATAACGCTAAAACCAGGTTGATAACTACTAAAAACATTCGGAAGCAGAAAATTTATATTTCAATATGGAGAAGAGAAAACATTTTTGCAATTTTACAAATGTTTTCTTTGCTTATAAATCATAATTTTAAGGACAGAAATGTTTTCTCTGCAAGTAGATTAAATATTGAATAAGATTTATCTTAATATTAGGTTAGCATAATTCTATTATTTACAAGTTCAAAATGTTCTTATAAATCAATAAATATATATATAACTGTTTTGGTAGGTAACTAATTTCACTTTTGTTTTGTTTTATCCGAGTGCAACTTTCTGAGAAATGAAAGTAATTAAAGTAAGACTGTATAAATGATCCATTCGTCTCTAAAACTCCGTCATTAATTGATTTTTGTTAAGTCGATAATTCAGATAAAGGTTTAAATAACCATTTATAATTTTAATGATTTTCGCAATTCTTTTCGTTTTCTTAAAAGTAAAATAATATCATATCTAGATGAAGTATAAAATATAATTTGAAAGATTTTTAACAATATTTCTCGATGTTTTTCTTAAAATTTATCGATTTATTTCGGTAAAAATAACCTTATTCCGCTATTATATCTTAAAGGATTTAATAAAATCGTAAATAAATTTATTTTGGAATGATGTGGACTATATGGATTAATGGACTATACAGAATTAAATATGATATATTAGAATACAGTTTTCTCATTCTTAGCAAGACTCTTATCTTGTTAGGATATAAATAAGAAAACATAGAAGATCAATTGTAAGATAAACATTCATATATTGTCTTTATTAAATGTGTAAGATAAAGCAAGGTTATTGGAAACTTTAATCTATTAGGTATTTGTGAAAGTATACACGAAAGAAATCAATGGTTTTGCGTCGTCTAGGTTTAGTTTTTTATGCACCATGCGGAATGGTCACCTTGGTTACAGCACGTTGGCTTCAACAAACTACGTATTTTATGTCGGGTTTGAATTGATGGCACATGATCTCCAGCTGGAAAAACCCTTTATACATTAATTCGAGTTATAATATTCATGTCTTACATATCCTTCAAATCTGAAGGATACTTTAAAGAAACGAACATTTTTCGGGGTTAAGGTTCTATCAAGTTCAAATGTATTCGAGTTCAATCAAGTTCAATATATTCTACTCGATCAAGATTACCTTGCACTTGGATTCGTTAAACTTTTATTTAATAATAATAGAATCGAAAGAAGGATTACATGATCCTTATATAAAAATAGAATTTAAAATCTACGTTTAAATGTAAATTCTGAACATTTTTAATTTTCTAATACTTGATAACATTTAACATTTTATTAATAGTTTTAATACTAATCAATTGAAAATATTTTCTATTTAAATAGTAATAAATTAAATAATAATATTTTTTTTCAAAAACTCTAATTAACTACAATGAAGACTATTAATTATTTTAATATATTGCTTAACTTTAAAATAAATAAATGACTTGTTTTAAAGAACTTAATAAATGATTCTGTATTAAAAAAATCTACAAAGTTATGTTCACTTTAGTTAAATATTTCCATTTGCAACATAAGTGACAAATAAATTTATTCACATTTAGCTCATTTACACAATTAATTTCAGACTAAATAACAAAAGTAAATATTTATCTTAGTTTAATTTATCATTTATATAACAAAATGAATTACAATTAAATTTATTGTATCACTTTAATTTAATCAATTTAAAGTATACAATAAATTAAATTTATAATTAGGCCTATATACTTTAATTTTTCTTAACAATAGATTTATTGTAAGTAATCACTGACATATTCATTTATATTTTTAAATTAGTGCCTTTGAAAATATCTACATTTAGATCTTGGTTGGGTTGTGTAAATGTATTTACAACATAATCCCAAGTGATGTTAACTATAAAATGTTCGCACCCACTTTCTAATTCCCAGAATAACGAGTTCCTCTACGAACATACAGTGACCTTAAAAGTCGTAAACCTGACATTTGTCGATATTAAATCCTTTAGTAAAAATTGTAACCCACATGGCGGACGGGTAATCAATAAATTCCTATCAGAAAATTCAAACTAGAAAACAACGTGGCATATGAGTATTGTCTCCGATATATTTTTAAAGTTTTATTAATTAATAATTTGATAATATTTTTTAGAAAGTTTTAAGAAATTAATTATATTAGATTCTTTTAAGTAATTACAATAGGCACTGTCAATTTTACGAGTTCTAAAGCAATTAAAATGGTGCGATATATTAAATTCTAACATTAAATTTTGTCAAGGTTTCGCTTTTATAATAAAGTAAAAATTCTCTTAAACTGAATTTATATATATTAAAATTTGTATGAAAAAATTTTATTTTTATTTTTAATAATTAAAATTGTAATTTAAATATNTTTTTTTTTTTTTTTTTTTTTTTTTTTTTTTTTTTTTTTTTTTTTTTTTTTTTTTTTTTTTTTTTTTTTTTTTTTTTTTTTTTTTTTTTTTTTTTTTTTTTTTTTTTTTTTTTTTTTTTTTTTTTTTTTTTTTTTTTTTTTTTTTTTTTTTTTTTTTTTTTTTTTTTTTTTTTTTTTTTTTTTTTTTTTTTTTTTTTTTTTTTTTTTTTTTTTTTTTTTTTTTTTTTTTTTTTTTTTTTTTTTTTTTTTTTTTTTTTTTTTTTTTTTTTTTTTTTTTTTTTTTTTTTTTTTTTTTTTTTTTTTTTTTTTTTTTTTTTTTTTTTTTTTTTTTTTTTTTTTTTTTTTTTTTTTTTTTTTTTTTTTTTTTTTTTTTTTTTTTTTTTTTTTTTTTTTTTTTTTTTTTTTTTTTTTTTTTTTTTTTTTTTTTTTTTTTTTTTTTTTTTTTTTTTTTTTTTTTTTTTTTTTTTTTTTTTTTTTTTTTTTTTTTTTTTTTTTTTTTTTTTTTTTTTTTTTTTTTTTTTTTTTTTTTTTTTTTTTTTTTTTTTTTTTTTTTTTTTTTTTTTTTTTTTTTTTTTTTTTTTTTTTTTTTTTTTTTTTTTTTTTTTTTTTTTTTTTTTTTTTTTTTTTTTTTTTTTTTTTTTTTTTTTTTTTTTTTTTTTTTTTTTTTTTTTTTTTTTTTTTTTTTTTTTTTTTTTTTTTTTTTTTTTTTTTTTTTTTTTTTTTTTTTTTTTTTTTTTTTTTTTTTTTTTTTTTTTTTTTTTTTTTTTTTTTTTTTTTTTTTTTTTTTTTTTTTTTTTTTTTTTTTTTTTTTTTTTTTTTTTTTTTTTTTTTTTTTTTTTTTTTTTTTTTTTTTTTTTTTTTTTTTTTTTTTTTTTTTTTTTTTTTTTTTTTTTTTTTTTTTTTTTTTTTTTTTTTTTTTTTTTTTTTTTTTTTTTTTTTTTTTTTTTTTTTTTTTTTTTTTTTTTTTTTTTTTTTTTTTTTTTTTTTTTTTTTTTTTTTTTTTTTTTTTTTTTTTTTTTTTTTTTTTTTTTTTTTTTTTTTTTTTTTTTTTTTTTTTTTTTTTTTTTTTTTTTTTTTTTTTTTTTTTTTTTTTTTTTTTTTTTTTTTTTTTTTTTTTTTTTTTTTTTTTTTTTTTTTTTTTTTTTTTTTTTTTTTTTTTTTTTTTTTTTTTTTTTTTTTTTTTTTTTTTTTTTTTTTTTTTTTTTTTTTTTTTTTTTTTTTTTTTTTTTTTTTTTTTTTTTTTTTTTTTTTTTTTTTTTTTTTTTTTTTTTTTTTTTTTTTTTTTTTTTTTTTTTTTTTTTTTTTTTTTTTTTTTTTTTTTTTTTTTTTTTTTTTTTTTTTTTTTTTTTTTTTTTTTTTTTTTTTTTTTTTTTTTTTTTTTTTTTTTTTTTTTTTTTTTTTTTTTTTTTTTTTTTTTTTTTTTTTTTTTTTTTTTTTTTTTTTTTTTTTTTTTTTTTTTTTTTTTTTTTTTTTTTTTTTTTTTTTTTTTTTTTTTTTTTTTTTTTTTTTTTTTTTTTTTTTTTTTTTTTTTTTTTTTTTTTTTTTTTTTTTTTTTTTTTTTTTTTTTTTTTTTTTTTTTTTTTTTTTTTTTTTTTTTTTTTTTTTTTTTTTTTTTTTTTTTTTTTTTTTTTTTTTTTTTTTTTTTTTTTTTTTTTTTTTTTTTTTTTTTTTTTTTTTTTTTTTTTTTTTTTTTTTTTTTTTTTTTTTTTTTTTTTTTTTTTTTTTTTTTTTTTTTTTTTTTTTTTTTTTTTTTTTTTTTTTTTTTTTTTTTTTTTTTTTTTTTTTTTTTTTTTTTTTTTTTTTTTTTTTTTTTTTTTTTTTTTTTTTTTTTTTTTTTTTTTTTTTTTTTTTTTTTTTTTTTTTTTTTTTTTTTTTTTTTTTTTTTTTTTTTTTTTTTTTTTTTTTTTTTTTTTTTTTTTTTTTTTTTTTTTTTTTTTTTTTTTTTTTTTTTTTTTTTTTTTTTTTTTTTTTTTTTTTTTTTTTTTTTTTTTTTTTTTTTTTTTTTTTTTTTTTTTTTTTTTTTTTTTTTTTTTTTTTTTTTTTTTTTTTTTTTTTTTTTTTTTTTTTTTTTTTTTTTTTTTTTTTTTTTTTTTTTTTTTTTTTTTTTTTTTTTTTTTTTTTTTTTTTTTTTTTTTTTTTTTTTTTTTTTTTTTTTTTTTTTTTTTTTTTTTTTTTTTTTTTTTTTTTTTTTTTTTTTTTTTTTTTTTTTTTTTTTTTTTTTTTTTTTTTTTTTTTTTTTTTTTTTTTTTTTTTTTTTTTTTTTTTTTTTTTTTTTTTTTTTTTTTTTTTTTTTTTTTTTTTTTTTTTTTTTTTTTTTTTTTTTTTTTTTTTTTTTTTTTTTTTTTTTTTTTTTTTTTTTTTTTTTTTTTTTTTTTTTTTTTTTTTTTTTTTTTTTTTTTTTTTTTTTTTTTTTTTTTTTTTTTTTTTTTTTTTTTTTTTTTTTTTTTTTTTTTTTTTTTTTTTTTTTTTTTTTTTTTTTTTTTTTTTTTTTTTTTTTTTTTTTTTTTTTTTTTTTTTTTTTTTTTTTTTTTTTTTTTTTTTTTTTTTTTTTTTTTTTTTTTTTTTTTTTTTTTTTTTTTTTTTTTTTTTTTTTTTTTTTTTTTTTTTTTTTTTTTTTTTTTTTTTTTTTTTTTTTTTTTTTTTTTTTTTTTTTTTTTTTTTTTTTTTTTTTTTTTTTTTTTTTTTTTTTTTTTTTTTTTTTTTTTTTTTTTTTTTTTTTTTTTTTTTTTTTTTTTTTTTTTTTTTTTTTTTTTTTTTTTTTTTTTTTTTTTTTTTTTTTTTTTTTTTTTTTTTTTTTTTTTTTTTTTTTTTTTTTTTTTTTTTTTTTTTTTTTTTTTTTTTTTTTTTTTTTTTTTTTTTTTTTTTTTTTTTTTTTTTTTTTTTTTTTTTTTTTTTTTTTTTTTTTTTTTTTTTTTTTTTTTTTTTTTTTTTTTTTTTTTTTTTTTTTTTTTTTTTTTTTTTTTTTTTTTTTTTTTTTTTTTTTTTTTTTTTTTTTTTTTTTTTTTTTTTTTTTTTTTTTTTTTTTTTTTTTTTTTTTTTTTTTTTTTTTTTTTTTTTTTTTTTTTTTTTTTTTTTTTTTTTTTTTTTTTTTTTTTTTTTTTTTTTTTTTTTTTTTTTTTTTTTTTTTTTTTTTTTTTTTTTTTTTTTTTTTTTTTTTTTTTTTTTTTTTTTTTTTTTTTTTTTTTTTTTTTTTTTTTTTTTTTTTTTTTTTTTTTTTTTTTTTTTTTTTTTTTTTTTTTTTTTTTTTTTTTTTTTTTTTTTTTTTTTTTTTTTTTTTTTTTTTTTTTTTTTTTTTTTTTTTTTTTTTTTTTTTTTTTTTTTTTTTTTTTTTTTTTTTTTTTTTTTTTTTTTTTTTTTTTTTTTTTTTTTTTTTTTTTTTTTTTTTTTTTTTTTTTTTTTTTTTTTTTTTTTTTTTTTTTTTTTTTTTTTTTTTTTTTTTTTTTTTTTTTTTTTTTTTTTTTTTTTTTTTTTTTTTTTTTTTTTTTTTTTTTTTTTTTTTTTTTTTTTTTTTTTTTTTTTTTTTTTTTTTTTTTTTTTTTTTTTTTTTTTTTTTTTTTTTTTTTTTTTTTTTTTTTTTTTTTTTTTTTTTTTTTTTTTTTTTTTTTTTTTTTTTTTTTTTTTTTTTTTTTTTTTTTTTTTTTTTTTTTTTTTTTTTTTTTTTTTTTTTTTTTTTTTTTTTTTTTTTTTTTTTTTTTTTTTTTTTTTTTTTTTTTTTTTTTTTTTTTTTTTTTTTTTTTTTTTTTTTTTTTTTTTTTTTTTTTTTTTTTTTTTTTTTTTTTTTTTTTTTTTTTTTTTTTTTTTTTTTTTTTTTTTTTTTTTTTTTTTTTTTTTTTTTTTTTTTTTTTTTTTTTTTTTTTTTTTTTTTTTTTTTTTTTTTTTTTTTTTTTTTTTTTTTTTTTTTTTTTTTTTTTTTTTTTTTTTTTTTTTTTTTTTTTTTTTTTTTTTTTTTTTTTTTTTTTTTTTTTTTTTTTTTTTTTTTTTTTTTTTTTTTTTTTTTTTTTTTTTTTTTTTTTTTTTTTTTTTTTTTTTTTTTTTTTTTTTTTTTTTTTTTTTTTTTTTTTTTTTTTTTTTTTTTTTTTTTTTTTTTTTTTTTTTTTTTTTTTTTTTTTTTTTTTTTTTTTTTTTTTTTTTTTTTTTTTTTTTTTTTTTTTTTTTTTTTTTTTTTTTTTTTTTTTTTTTTTTTTTTTTTTTTTTTTTTTTTTTTTTTTTTTTTTTTTTTTTTTTTTTTTTTTTTTTTTTTTTTTTTTTTTTTTTTTTTTTTTTTTTTTTTTTTTTTTTTTTTTTTTTTTTTTTTTTTTTTTTTTTTTTTTTTTTTTTTTTTTTTTTTTTTTTTTTTTTTTTTTTTTTTTTTTTTTTTTTTTTTTTTTTTTTTTTTTTTTTTTTTTTTTTTTTTTTTTTTTTTTTTTTTTTTTTTTTTTTTTTTTTTTTTTTTTTTTTTTTTTTTTTTTTTTTTTTTTTTTTTTTTTTTTTTTTTTTTTTTTTTTTTTTTTTTTTTTTTTTTTTTTTTTTTTTTTTTTTTTTTTTTTTTTTTTTTTTTTTTTTTTTTTTTTTTTTTTTTTTTTTTTTTTTTTTTTTTTTTTTTTTTTTTTTTTTTTTTTTTTTTTTTTTTTTTTTTTTTTTTTTTTTTTTTTTTTTTTTTTTTTTTTTTTTTTTTTTTTTTTTTTTTTTTTTTTTTTTTTTTTTTTTTTTTTTTTTTTTTTTTTTTTTTTTTTTTTTTTTTTTTTTTTTTTTTTTTTTTTTTTTTTTTTTTTTTTTTTTTTTTTTTTTTTTTTTTTTTTTTTTTTTTTTTTTTTTTTTTTTTTTTTTTTTTTTTTTTTTTTTTTTTTTTTTTTTTTTTTTTTTTTTTTTTTTTTTTTTTTTTTTTTTTTTTTTTTTTTTTTTTTTTTTTTTTTTTTTTTTTTTTTTTTTTTTTTTTTTTTTTTTTTTTTTTTTTTTTTTTTTTTTTTTTTTTTTTTTTTTTTTTTTTTTTTTTTTTTTTTTTTTTTTTTTTTTTTTTTTTTTTTTTTTTTTTTTTTTTTTTTTTTTTTTTTTTTTTTTTTTTTTTTTTTTTTTTTTTTTTTTTTTTTTTTTTTTTTTTTTTTTTTTTTTTTTTTTTTTTTTTTTTTTTTTTTTTTTTTTTTTTTTTTTTTTTTTTTTTTTTTTTTTTTTTTTTTTTTTTTTTTTTTTTTTTTTTTTTTTTTTTTTTTTTTTTTTTTTTTTTTTTTTTTTTTTTTTTTTTTTTTTTTTTTTTTTTTTTTTTTTTTTTTTTTTTTTTTTTTTTTTTTTTTTTTTTTTTTTTTTTTTTTTTTTTTTTTTTTTTTTTTTTTTTTTTTTTTTTTTTTTTTTTTTTTTTTTTTTTTTTTTTTTTTTTTTTTTTTTTTTTTTTTTTTTTTTTTTTTTTTTTTTTTTTTTTTTTTTTTTTTTTTTTTTTTTTTTTTTTTTTTTTTTTTTTTTTTTTTTTTTTTTTTTTTTTTTTTTTTTTTTTTTTTTTTTTTTTTTTTTTTTTTTTTTTTTTTTTTTTTTTTTTTTTTTTTTTTTTTTTTTTTTTTTTTTTTTTTTTTTTTTTTTTTTTTTTTTTTTTTTTTTTTTTTTTATTTCCTACTAGGCTTATAGCGTCGGATAGCCAGTCTGACTCTTTTCCAATATATCTCGGACAGGGAACAATTGTTCTTCCAATCTCTTTGGCCATCAAAAAAACCCCACTGGCTTTCCGACCATCTGTAACCAGCGATTGTTTGGATGTAGTCAAAGGGACTATTCGTCCTCAGGTAAGTTCAATGGACATTGACCTCTATGCCAGCCTAAGGTGATTGATAGAATTTTAATATTTATTTATGTTTATATCATATTTAACAAATATCGTTAATTAAAATTTTTAATGAGTAATTCATCTGTTTAATTTACACATCCGGGATGAAGTTATAAAGTAATACGTATTTTTGGATATCAAAATTAAATTAAAGTGTTTAAAAATTTAAATTATTTAAAAATAAAATTTTTATAATTAAAATTACAACTTTTCTGCAACTGTAATTATTGTTATTTTTGTTAACAGATTGATGAACATATTTATAGAATTTTATCATCATTGAATTTATACTTTATTTATAAAAATATTCATTATACGAAGAGTATTCGAAACTTAAAACCGAATGGAAAATATTACCTAGTTTTAATATAAATAATTTAAATATTAAATTTAAGTTTTAGATGCGAAATGAGTGATTTTTGGGTACCGGGTATCATATAAAAGTCGAATCAGTTTTCATAGTAATTTTTCGAACGATCCGTTTTATTGGATCGATTATTTAATTTCAATATTACAAAGAAAACAATGTTTGGAGAATCGAATTTTTTTTTTGTTTTCGAGCATTTTCAATCAAGAGAGAATAGCGTCATTCTGGTTAGAGGGAAGACAACCAAACCGAATTACCTTTTGCTGTTAACGTAGTTTGCGGTCGTGTGACATGAAGTCTTCTAATGACCGCAGTCCGAGTTAAAAACTTCATGAGTCCTAATGGCTGTGATTTTCTTCTCTCTCGGTTCGCTAATGGTCGGGTAACGAGATTCTAGATTGATGGCTTAGCTTCTCTCTCTAATTTCTATCGCAAGGTGGCGTGACTGTTTTTGATTTTTCTCTTTGTTCGCGCACACGAGAATATAAACATTAGAAGTTAGAAAATATTGAGACGTACAATTACAGTTAATATTTTATACTAATCGCTTTCCTTGAAATATTTCTATGTATCTACCAATCTAGAATCATGCGTAGTGGCTGTACTAGTAGTTGCGTTTCTGTTTTGTTTCTAATTAAAATAATAATAGATTGATTAAATACGCAATTTATTCACTGTTTATTAAAAAGAAGTAATTCGAATTTATGTTTTACTAAATTTAATATTCGAGACATTTTGAATTGTCAGAACCCACTACGAGGAACAATAAAAATTCTTTTACGCGATACTTTTCATGCCAACATAATTGGAAAAAAAGTTTTGAAGCAAAATTCGTAATGAACTATACATAAAATTGTTTTCGTTTTTCAATAAGAATTTTGGTTTTTATTCGAATTTAAAATATATATATATATATATAGGCTATATAAAATATACTTTAATGTTTATACTCTAACATTATAAACTTAACAAGATTTACAGATATTTAAAAAAAATCGTGTCACATGGTACTTAGCTTCAACACGAATAAAAATTTATAAATAGTTCAAGCTGCTTATGACTGAATCAGTGTTTCTATTGATTTTCCCTAAATATCTATAGCATTAAAAGAAATTTTAGAAAATAGGAAAACAATAAAAAATAATTTTATGATGAAATAAACTTAATATAAATTTTCTTTAAATTTCTAATATTTTTATTTCTTCGAACTCTTTTATCATTCATTTATGATTTATATTCCAAAGGTGATTCGTTTAAAAGTCAATTCATTACGAGTGATTCATTAAACATTCAACTTAATATAAATGAGATAATTTTTCTGGTAATGTCAATTTGGTAATAAATAATAAAAGTTCGTAATGTATTTTACTCCAAGCAATTCCAAAACATTTTCAATAATTTATTGTATTAATTTTTAAACGGACCTTGAATTATAATCATTTCTTTTTATAAGACTAACCACGTAATTTTCGTTTTATAACATATTTCCTAAAACTAAATTTTCAATAGTCTTTTTAAATTAATAATTTAATGAGAACATTATATATAGATTTTTGCCTTTCTGATTTATTATCATATATATATATTTTTTTTATTATTTTATTTTTATACCTTTAACTGTATTAAAATTTTATCATTTTCTTGCAGTTATAATAACAAATTTATAAAATATGACGCTTTAAACAATTATAAAAATGAGCAATAAGTTTAGAGATAAAAATATATTAAATATTGAGATAATAAATAGAAAATATGAATAATTAATGAGGAGATAAAGTAATTTTAATAAATATATTATTTATTTATTTGGTGGTATTTTAAATCTAATTATTATTTAAATATATGTAAATAAAATCTTAAAATATAAAAAAGTGAATTTCTACAATTGAATGGAACCTGTTAGAGTTATCTCCTATCTTTAGATGGACAACAGATCACACGCACAGGATCAAACTCACATCCATAGTTTAGAATATAAAAAATTTATCTTTGTAGAGAAATTTACGTCAGTTAATGGTCATTATAAGTAGGGGAGACCGGGGCAACTTCGGCATGCGGGGCAAGTTTGTCAAGCTCTTTTTTTTAAAAAACAAATTAAAAGGAGACTTTGGTTATAGGTTAGGCAGTTGAGTTTTATTGGTGGCTTGTTGAGTGTAGTGTTTTTATTATTCTCCAGCAAGCGTAGTTGAATTATCAAGCAAATTTTCATTTTCGTTCAATTCCATACAATATTTTTTTTCCATTTATATTGAATTGGCAGGTTTTGTTATAATTCCATGATAACGAAAGTTACTTTTCCTGTTAGAAGGATGTAACTTCAACTTATTCACGTGGCCAGATCGTGGCTTGGCATTCTGTTCTCAGGGTTGTACTTAATGTTTCGAAATCATNTTAATTTATCATTTATATAACAAAATGAATTACAATTAAATTTATTGTATCACTTTAATTTAATCAATTTAAAGTATACAATAAATTAAATTTATAATTAGGCCTATATACTTTAATTTTTCTTAACAATAGATTTATTGTAAGTAATCACTGACATATTCATTTATATTTTTAAATTAGTGCCTTTGAAAATATCTACATTTAGATCTTGGTTGGGTTGTGTAAATGTATTTACAACATAATCCCAAGTGATGTTAACTATAAAATGTTCGCACCCACTTTCTAATTCCCAGAATAACGAGTTCCTCTACGAACATACAGTGACCTTAAAAGTCGTAAACCTGACATTTGTCGATATTTAATCCTTTAGTAAAAATTGTAACCCACATGGCGGACGGGTAATCAATAAATTCCTATCAGAAAATTCAAACTAGAAAACAACGTGGCATATGAGTATTGTCTCCGATATATTTTTAAAGTTTTATTAATTAATAATTTGCTAATATTTTTTAGAAAGTTTTAAGAAATTAATTATATTAGATTCTTTTAAGTAATTACAATAGGCACTGTCAATTTTACGAGTTCTAAAGCAATTAAAATGGTGCGATATATTAAATTCTAACATTAAATTTTGTCAAGGTTTCGCTTTTATAATAAAGTAAAAATTCTCTTAAACTGAATTTATATATATTAAAATTTGTATGAAAAAATTTTATTTTTATTTTTAATAATTAAAATTGTAATTTAAATATAAAACATATTTTCAATTTTTGTAATAATCTTTCACTGTTATAAATATATTAGACTATTATAAATTAGAACAATCAATAATTATATAATATACTTTTACATCTAGTTTTAAATAAAACTATGAATATATAATTATAATGATAAAGACTTTGTTATATATAATTTACATAAATTTACAACATATTTTTGTATGTCATATTTATGTGATGGATTGTTTTTAAATCCAATCAATTTTATTTTAGACACAAGTTTATAGTGAAAATTAGGACAAGAGGAGATGATAATTTTTCTAACGTGACATAAATTGATAAATAGTTTATATAATATTAAGATTACTGACAAATAAGCTTAATTCTTTCATGAAACATTTAAAATTTTATTATATGGAATCAAATATAAAATTTTAAGCATTTTCAAATATATAACTTAACTACAAAGGCAAAATTGGATTTATTATAGAAAATTCTAGCATATGGTCGTTCATTACAGGTGGTCTTCGTATATAATGAAGTCGTTCATCATTAGTGAGGAAATGAAAAATAACAAAAGTCCCAATTAAAACCTGGATTCTTCGCAAAGGTAAGAAAATATCTAAGAATTATATTGATTTAAAATGAAAATATCTGAACAGAATTAAAGATTTAAAAACATTTTAAATTGCTTAAAATATGAAAAACTTTAAAAATCGCATTATAACAAATACATGTCAAATTCTAGACCTAATTATACATTTATATGCATTAATAAGTTGAAAAAATATATTTGTTATATAGATTTTCTTACGTTTTTGTACCTGTGCAATAATAAACACTTACACTATGTATTTAATCCATATTTTCACTTTCTTTTATATGACTTATTTTCTTATTGTATTATTATTTAACTTATGTATTAAATTTATTTATATTAATTGGCAAAATTCAAAATTGTTTTTACACAATATTAATAAAATAATAATAATAAATAGAAACGTAAAAAGAAATTTAGTGCTTGAAATTGCATTAAGTCTCTTCGTAAACGTTTTCAACGTCAAGTAAACATTTTATGTAGATCGTGTTCTATGAATAAAAATTTCATAAATTTAATATTTTCTATAAGAAATTTTCACAAATTGTATTAACTCATTTTTAATACTACTACTACTAGTAATACTATAATATATTAT